CTGCTGAGGGGAGCAGCGGGCGGGTCAGGAGAGGTCTGCCACGCCATGTGGTCACCTCCGGGGCAGGCGGGGATCGAACTCATGCGGAAGTGGTTCTAGCTTCTTAGTGCAGTGCTTTAACCCGCTGCGCCACCAGGGAGGGCCTAAATAAATAAATCTTTAAAAGAAAATTAAGTCCTTTTAGAGAATAGTAATGTGACAGTGCCTAGTTTGCTGTTACCCAGTATTCATTCAACAAAAACCTGCAAATATATCGCTATTCGTGTTAGCCAGAAGTTCGAAAGACTCCAGATGCCCATCACAAACGAACGGACAAACAAATACAGTATATCCATACAATAGGCTGTTACCCATCCATAGAAAGAAGTGAACTATTTATACATGTCAGACCTTCAATGAACACTGAAAACATTATACCAAGTGAAGCCAATCACAAAAGTCCATACTTACATGATTCCATTCATATAAAAGTCCAAAGAAAGGGAAGAACAGAACAGGAATTTTGAGAGAGGAACTCTTACAGCGTGTGGGAAGAGGGGGGGTAGGAGAATGAGAGCCAAAGGTACAGGGTTTCTTCTCAGAGGGTGATGGTTCCCCAACTCTGGATAGTCTTAAAGTCATTGTGTATTTGTAAATGGTGCGTTTTATGGTATCTGAATTATATTTCAGTACAGTTTTTTTTAAATTGTATGTAGTTGCCTATGGTTGAAACATCAAGTGCTGATTGTTCTCTAACAAATAACCTATTAGTAATTATTCTATCTTTGAGGAGGCTAATGGAAATCAACCAATAAAGCCTTCCAGAGAAAATCGGAAGAGAAGTCACTTCGAATCTGGGAAAACGGTAAGTCTTAGGATAATACAGAGATTGGCTAAAATGGCAAGTGTCAGTATTCCTGTAGATTAAATGTAAAATTGTATGATAATGTCCAAGAATATACTTCAGATCTCTGGTGAGCAAATCTTGTTTAAAAGTTTTTGGTTCTAAAAAATGGGATGATTGGAATAACATCTGAACAAGCTAAAAAAAAAAAAGATGAAATTCTGCCTTTCGACAACATGGAGAGAGCTAGAGGGATGACGGTGAGTGAAGTCAGTCAGAAGGGCGAAGACAAACGGCAGGTGATTCTGCTCATATGAAACAAAAAAGCAGAGGAACAGACCCAATAAACCCTTGAAGGCTGTCAGCAGGAGAGACTTCGAGGAGGGGAAGGAGCAGGGTGAAGTGGGAAGGCAGCATTTTGCTGCGTGGTGGTGACAGGGTGAGAACTGCGCTTGTGGGGACGACCTGTATCCCCAAGCAGAGACAGTTCTAAATCAGTGTTATCTCAACATGTGTAATTTAAAATGGGAAAAAGACCTACCTAGAAAAATACGAAGATGTGCTATGCTAACTTAACTCATTTTTTTTTTCACGTAAGTAACTATTTGTTGCATGATTCCAGGAATGATTTGGAGTAAGAGGAACTTATTCAATACATTAAAAATTAGTGTCAGGAAAAACATGAGTAGAGTGAGAAAATGACGGTAAGAATACTCAGGCCACTTTATTTAATAGAGCTAAAATTAGGCCACAAGTTTGATCTGAGCTTTCTAGAATCAGAATTAAAGTGGAAAGAAGAGATGTTACCAAATGCCTAATCCCCCAAAAAGAAAGCATCTTCTCCTGGTACCTAGGAGAAAGAACATTTTTCCTGACCTGAGTCTTTTAACAGTTGTTTTATATCTGGGATCTTATTTTACTAATTTCAATTGTGTGTTTATCGTTTCCAAGATATTTGTATTTTTCAACAAGAATTTTTAGCATTATTTAGTAGATTAAAATTAGACAAGTAAGGCTGTTTTTAAAAATCAAACGTTAAAGGGATAATCCCAAAAATACAGTTTGTTACTATAGTTTTCAATGCATGTATCTTAAAGGGAACTGGCTGGTCTGACATCTCATTAATACATTAGGTTCTGTAATTTTTTCTAAATGTATTCAGCCTTGGCTTTTTCTGCTAAAGCATAGTCGAATTTGTAATTCTTAGTTTCTTACAGAAAAATCAAAGCTCAGCACTGAGGCAGTCTCCTGTATGCGTGCGCCCCCCCCCCCTCTCAGGTGTTGCCGCAGGCCACCACCTGCCAGCTGCCAAGGGACTGCTTTAAGTCTTAGTGGGGCCAAGGTGGAATGTTTCTCTACTGGCCATTCATTCTAAATCTTTTCCCTGGTATCCCCCCAAATAGTTCTACTGTTATCTTTTGTTTTTATCTTTACCCCCCTGCGTGGGGCACCCCTGGAAGTCCTGCAAGGTCGATGCGTGGAGTAGCGGAGCAAGCCCCTGTTCCATCTCCCTGCTCCGGAAACCCACTGGTGTCTTGTCCTCAGACAGGACGTGTCAGGTAGTCAGCTGGCGAGAACAGATACTACCCTTGAGCTCACCCTTCATGGAGACCTTGCCAGCTTGTACCTCCACTGCCATCAGGCGAGGTGCCCGTGTCATGCCAAAGCCGACCTTACAGTCAGGAGCCCGGTGCCGCTGTCGCCAGGGGCCCGTCTGCTGCCTGTCACCAGAAAGGAAGGAACCCAGAGGCATGGGAGAGAGCTCAAGTTTAAGACATCTAAGCTGCAGTGTCTGTTCTTAGTGGTGGTTTTCTTTTGGCAGGTCCTTCATCATTTTGATTCTTCTAGTCAAGAGTCAGTACCAAAAAGAAGGAAGTTTAGTGAGCCCAAGGAACATATATAAAAATTACTTTTCCTTCCGCCTGTTTGCGAAGTTCTCAACAGTTAAACTCAGTGACCAGCATTGCTCTTTTAGAGGCGGTTTGCTGCGCCCCTGCAAGTCTGAGTGGGCTCCTGCACTTGGCACACTAAAGTGGATCTGAGCTCAAGCTGTCGTCCCTGTGCCTCGGAGACGAAGCACCGCTGTGACAGCTGACGTTGCTTGTCCTCTGCTCGACATGTTGATGTTCCTTTACACATGCAAAACATTTACAGCCCTATGAAGTCACTTTTTGAAATTAATAATGTTTATTTTGCTATTAAATTTTGGGAGTTCACTTTTTACTTATGTTAAAACTGTCATTTAATTGTGGCATTCTATTGTTAAAGCAGTGTTCTTCAGTACTTTGATGTAGTAGATGAATAGGATAATATATGATATAAAAAGAAAAATCAGTATGTTGCTTTTTAAACACTTTTTTACAACAAGACAAAACTGATTTTTTGAAGTCTGGCGTTTTGGACAGCACAAATAAAATGTGTTTAGCATCTAGATTCTTTCATGGCTTCTACTCTTATTTAGTTGGACACTGTTGGCACACAAATGTTGAGACCACTTCTGGAGAGGTCACTGTGCAGGGGTTGAACACACCCCCTAGAACTTTTGAGTGTTGCTGTGATTCTGTGCTTTCCACGAAGAACCCGGGCCTGGCTCCAGCCTTGGCCGGTGCCTTTGCTGGACAAAAGGAAGCCTTGGGGCCCTCCCTGGTGGCGCAGCAGGTTGAAGCGCAGCACTAAGAAGCGAAAGCCACTTCAGCACAAGTTCGATCCCTGCCCCCAGGTGACCCGCAGGGCGCAGCAGACCCCTCCTGACCTGCCCGCTGCCAGCCGCGCTTCGTCAGTCGGCCTGTTTTGCTCCCCACTCTCTAGTGAATGCTCTCGCCTCCTTCCCCACCTCTGGCCTGCACCCCAGTTCTGTATGCATAAATAAATTTTTTTAAAAAAGGAAGCCTTAGAAGGTGGCGTGCTTGCTCTGCAGCGCGCCGACCGCTGTTCTGTACGCGATCCCTGAGCGGCCAGTCGCGGGAGTCCCGGGCAGGGCGCGCGCGGCGCTGGAACGCGCGGGGCCACCTCGGTGAGCCCCCGGCGGCCGCAGCGGACCCCGACTAGCTCTCCAGGAGCAGGAAGCTCGGGGTGAGCTAACTGCAGAACCCAGCCAGTGGGGAACGTTCATCTACCCCGCGCTCTGGACGCCCCCTGCCGTCCCCGCGCGCGCCACCTGCACAGCGGCCGCCCCGCGACCCCCGGGAGCCCGCGCGGGTCGGCGCCCCCCGCGCTGTGATTGGCCGGCGCGGGGGGGCCGCCTCGCCCCCCGCGCCATCCGAGGCTCCTCCATTGGGCTGACCGGCTGTCAGGCTGAACCGAAACCTGCCTCCCGACCGCGGCGTCCGTCCGGGCCGCAACACAATAGCCGGGGCGCCGCCCCCCGCGCGCCCCGATTGGCCGGGCTGGCCTGGCGCTGCCCGATTGGCCCGACGCGGGAACACTGGGGTAGGTTGCCTAGCGATCCCGAGGAAGCTGAGGTGTTACTCCTCCGGCCGCGAGGATCAGGAAGTTTGCGCTGTCTGCGCCGCTGCGAAGTTTTTAACCTGCGAGGGCGCGGGTCGTGGTGGGGGGAGCAGGTGTCCCCCGAAAACTGAGTGCACGCTGCAGCCTGCTTCCGGCCATCCCTGGGAGTAACCTCAGGTAAGGCGAGGGGAGAAGACATTGCCTGACGCTCAAAAATCCAATTGTTTTAATGGGGAAAGGGAGGTTTTCACTTATTTTATTTGGGGGCCACCTGCTCTCAACTTGGATTTCTAAACCCGTGAGTGCCCGGGGGGTTCGCCCCTCAAAATGCCCTTTTATTCCCCCCCCCATCTGAAGTTTCTCGGACCGGTTAGGAATGTCTGCCGGCTGCCTGGCAGGGCCGGCGTCCACCCTTCTCCGCCTGGCCTCAGGAACTGCCTTTGGAATTCAGCGTTGTGCCAAGACTCGCAAGTCGGGTTTCCACGCCATCTGGGTTTCTGCTTTCCACGTCCACGTGCATTTCTGAGCGCGCCCTCTCGGCACACGCCGCTGGCTCCCGTGGAGGACACGGAGCCGGGGACACCAGACCCTGCCCGCAAGCAGTTACGGTTGGTTGCGAGCCCGCCGAACCCAGGGAGACGCCAGAGCAAGTCGAGTGGGAAGGCGCCGCCGCCAGCCCTGGACTCCGCGAGACGGCGGGGAAAGGGCCTTCGCCGACGCCTCGCAGGGGGTCTCAGTGGGCCTGTGAGGCGTGAGCAGAGTGGAGAGACAGGGCAAGGGCAGAGAATCCCGGCTGGGAAGCTGCGGCAGAGGGCCGGCCGCCCCGGACGGCAGGCGCTGCCGGCTGCATGGCCCAAGCCCGATGCCCAAGCCCGGGCTTCCGTAGCGACCGCTTGCAGAAGAAGCTCTTCCAGGGACTGCTGACCGAAAGTATGGATTGCAAGTCATCTTAAAAACCGACAGCTAGATTTTCCTAAGCTCAAGTATGTCAGCCTGGACATGGCACATTAGTGCCCGCGCCCCTGACTAGCTGTTTAAGGCAGCCACCGGGCTGGGGCGGGAGGGCTCGGCTCTGCTGTTTTGCAAGTGCAAAGCATGTTGCTCCTCTTTCACCGTTCGGTTGTTGGTCCTGTTTACTGGCAGCTGCTTATGACTCTGCAAGAGAACTAGCAGGGGTACAGCAAAGGCTGTCAAAGTCACATTGGAGAAGCCCACATTTTCTGCAGAGCATGACTCTCGCTAGGGAGCCCCAGGGGTCGCAGGAGTCAGGAGGGCGTGGGGAGAGGCAGTAGAGCGCGGACGTCTATTTCTTTTTCCTTTTTTACTTTGTATTTTTTGAACCATTGAATGAATATATAATTATATGCTCTTATGGACGGGACGATGGCAATTTTTTTGCTGCTCCGTACTGTTTAGGGAGGATCCACTTTGTGAAAGAGGCGTGAAGGGGATGAACACTTCCTCCTGAGTGCAGATCATGCACAGGAATCAGAAGCTCTAACCTTACACTTACTGCTCCGCTGATTCCTTGTCAGTGCCTTTGGGACGCCTGTTACATGCTGGAAAATATTTGGTGTTACCCATAAAATTGGCCGAGTCGTGCCTCCTTTCTCTAGTTAAGTGTGTAAACATTCTTTCGCACTTTGTTTTGCATGGATGTTGTATGCATGTGTGTTGATTGACATGAGCTCACATACAGATATTTTTTCAACATTGTTTCCAGAAACAGCCAAGAATGACCACGTTAACTCACCGGGCCCGCCGCATGGAAGGAGGCAAGAACTCCGAAAAGAAGGTGGAAAGTGAGGAAGACACTAATCAGGACGGGAGTGCGGACAGTGAAGACGCTGGTGACTGCAAGGACATCCGCCTCACCCTTATGGAAGAAATCCTGCTCCTGGGGCTGAAGGACAAAGAGGTAACACAGCCGAGTTGGCGAGGCAGCGCACAGCCCCCGCGGTGTTTGGGCAGGAGCCTGGCAGTGTTTGTGTTACTGCCAAGCCGGCCGAGGTTGTGCCCATTCATCGGGGGTTTGAGGAAGTCTGGAGTGCGGCTAATGCCTTGCAGGGGAAACATCCAGAATATAATTACTTGAAATATAATTATAAAATTACTCCAAAGTTTTAGGAAAGGCAAAACAGTATATGACAAAGATCTTTGTGCTTGTAGTTAAGACTAATGGTCTCTAACTCAGAGGACCCACGTTGAAGTCCTCTGAAGCTTTAGGGTGAAGATGTATTTTATTTATTTATTTTAAAGATTTATTCATTTATGGATACAGAGCTGAGGTACAGACCAGAGGTGCAGGGGGTGAGAGGACTCACCAGAGACAGAGCGGGAAGCAGAACTGCTGAGGGGGCAGCGGGGACACAGGAGAGGTCTGGTGCACCCTGTGGGTCACTCCCTGGCCGGGGATCGAACTCGTGCTGCCGGGGCTTCATAGGGTTCACTTTAGCGCGCTGCACCATCGGGAGGGTGGAGAAGAGGAAGACAGGGAGCAATATTAATACTCACCTTCTAACAAAAAGCAATGATGGGACTGTTTCTACTGATGTACAAATAGCTTTTTTCTTTTAATTTCCTATTCTGTAGATCCTTAGAAGTGAAATATCAACAACAGTATTTTAATTTAAAAATGTTTTCAAATCGTTTTCAGCATTCTCAAGTTCCCCTCATTGATAGGACGTTTATAACAATGAGTCTCGAGATAGCACGTCTGTGATTTGACCAAGTATTTTCTCGGCCTTCCCACCAACAGTGTGTACTAACCTTCATTTGTAATTTGGCTGTTCCTGTATTTCCCCTTAACTAATTCTTCCCGAGTGAAGAGGTGTAGGGGACGCATGAAATGTTATAGTTTACAAATGCGAAACGTGCTTGTTCAGTTGTCCTTACCTAGCAATTCAGCAACAAGCTTCTAGGAATGTCTCTTCTCGTCTACTTGATTCCTCACTTTGTGAGACCCGCGTCCTAAACTTTACATCCGATTTCTTTTAAGATTTATTTACTTGTGTATACAGAACTGGGGGACAGTGCTGGGGCAGTGAGAGGCTTCCCCAGAGACAGAGCGGGGAGCAGAACAGGCAGATGGATGAAGCCCACTGCTGAGGGGGCAGCGGGCGGGCCAGGCAGGGTCTGCCACGCCCTGGGGTCACCTCCGGGGCAGGCGGGGATCGAAGGGGCAGGCGGGGATCGAAGGGGCAGGCGGGGATCGAACTCGCACTGAAGCGGCTGCAGCCAGCGCTCAGTGCTGCGTCCCAACCCGCGGCGCCACCAGGGAGGGCCGCATCCGATTTTCTTTATCATTGTTTCCGTCTCTTGTTTTCCCATGTCCCATTACCAACTGAAACACACTTGCCCTGGCCTGCGGGGTGTCAGAACTGGAATGAGAGACAGCTTTGCGTGTTGGCTCAGACACAGAGACGCAGAAACCTGGCCCAGAGTGCCTTTCCCTCTTTGCTGAGAAAGCTGAGCAGGCTCTAGTTTTAGCAAAAAATCAAATAAGGAGAGAGCTGAACTGACTCCGGAAGAATGTTGCCGGCGATCTGGAGAGGCGGCAGCACGGGCCGCTCGGTGTGTGGGTCGGGAAGCTGCGCTGGCCGCGGGCAGCTGTTTCTGGCAGCTCTGGGTCGCAAGGATCGATTCCTGCGCCCTGACTGACGCGAGGACTTTTGCTTCTCACAGTAGAGCAACGGCCCTTGGACTTAGCCTGTGTGTTTCTAAACTGTAGTCATTGACTCTGCTTACGGAACTGAAAGACAGTCACCAAGGAGCCATGGGCGCTCCCGCTGGGCGCGGCCGCAGGCGTGGGGAGCTGCTGTGCCCTTACAGGGCCGCTCCTCACTGGCCTCGTCCACTTCAGCCGTAAATGAGCTGACAGGTTTGAGCTTTCACTTGCCTCAGAAAGAACAGGAACGGACAGGGAGAGGTCAGACTCCTGACCGAGTCAGCAGGAGGCAGTCCGGGACGCAGCCACCCCCTGTCAGAGATGGCAGCTGGCTCCCAGCGCCTCATTTTCTTCTCCTGCCTCCGGCTGTCGAGAGTGGCTGAGCGCCACGTGCAGCTGGGGCTCCCACCATGTGTCGGCGTGGCATGGTTTAAGGGAAGTGGTAAAAGAGGCGTTCTGTCCTCAAGTCTGGATGCTAGCTGGAGAGACGAGATACATGTGCTTGTAGCAAACTGGCCCAGAAGAGACGGGTAGAAATGAAGAATGCGTTATTTAAGTAGGTCTTAGGCACAGGCGCAGAAGGAGCAGTTACAGAGCGGGCCTGATTCTCCTATACCGTGCACATGAAGGAGGCCAGGTGAAACACCGCACTGTGTGATCCTTGCATGCAAAGTTTTGAGAACGAGACTTACAGTATCAAGGTTGCATATCAGGTGATGAAACTACGGAAAAGGGAGGCGCCATCGGTCTGCGGGTGGGGGCTCCCGGTGGTGAGGGGGCGGGGCTGGGCCTCGAGGCGCAGCGGTCATCGGGTTGGAGGAACGGGGAAGGACCGGCCACGGAGACACTCGTGGGCCTTAAGAATGGCAGTAGGACAGAGAGGGGCGGGAGGAGGCGTGCGGGTGGGGAGGCCAGAGCGCAGGGTCACGAACGCGCTGGGTTGGGAGCTGACCCAGGCCCGCAGCAGCGAGGCGGGGGTGTGGCGGCTTTGCCAGGGGCAGTCAGCTGCAGACGAGCGAGCGTGCGACTGGGCCGCCAGGCAGACTCTAGAGCCTGTCACCTCAGTAAAGAGAAGACCGGCTTCATGAAGACCGCAGAGTTCATGTCACCTTCCAGCCCAAACGAAACACTTACTGATATTTTCGCTCCGAGTTCTTGTCATAGGTGTTCCGGTGTGTATATATATAATCACTTGTCTTCGCATGGCTTGAGGTTTGTGACGTGTCCAAGAGAATCCTCAAAGCTGAACCCTGTTTCCCAGAGTTAACTTGGGTGAGGATTTCCGTAATGTTCTACTTCAAACCTACCGCCATCATATTTAAAATTCTGCTTGAGGAGTATAATGGACCAGGCGAGAAAATAACAAAAATAATGAACAACCCTATACCAGAGACATTTTGCGGGGGTGGAGTGGGGAATGGGATCAAAAACGGGGGGGTGGGGAGGGAATGCACGGGATTATGGTGATGGCACACGGGTGACTGGTGATGGGAAACCCGCGGGGACTACAATTGAGATGGAAAAAAAAATGTACAAAATGATGGGAAAATAAACTGTTATAAAATAAAAAAAATTCTGCTTGAAAGACACTAGGTAGGAAGCCGCACAGCGACACCCCTCTTCCAGGCGCCGTGGCTGAGGGAGGAGCGTCAGCAGGGCAGACACCAAGTCACGTGGGCTGCTAATTCATCCCTCTCGAGACTCCTCCGAGAAGTGGCCACAGCCTGGCTTTAAAATACGAAGCTTCACTGTCTTGTGAGTAATCAAGACGCCCATACGGAACAGCCAGCGCATTCTCGGAAGCGACGCTCAAGCGTCTCACCTTTCGGTACATTTGAAGTTAGGTGCTGCGTCAGCTGAGCCACGCACCTCCGGGCGGTCAGGCTGGAGCCTGGTGACCGGTGAGTTCGTTCATTTCCTGCCGCAGTAAAAAGCCTGTTTGTCCTTATTGCCTTAGGTGGGAATTTTGATACAGGCGCTTTTAACTCCCGGACAACTAATGCTTCACCTAAATGCTTTCACTGCTAGTGTGTGAAAGCTCCGCTTGGCGAGACTCGGGCTTACTCGCCCCTCCTCAGAGCAGCGAGCCGCGTGAATGCTTTCGGCTTTCGGCTTTGGCAGGCCTTTTGGTCCGCGGGCAGAACTTTTTCCCCTCTTCTCTGCGAGCCTGCTCCTGCCACTGCATCCGTTGGGTCCTCACTGAGCCCTGCGACACAGACCAGGTCATCATGTTTTTCATGTCACTGGAGCAAAATTTGACCAGAAGTATTGCTGACTGCCATTGCGGGAATATATTTTCGTTTGTTCAGTTTAAGAATGTCTCTGATGTGCCGAGTGAGGGCTGCTGAGAGCCAACACGGTCGTCCCTGCTCTTGAGACCGCGCGTACGCCAGGGTTGTGGGCTGACTGGAGAAGCTGGCACCAGGCGGGTCCCAGGCCGCGGCGTGGCGAGTGACGGGAATGGGGGCGAAAGAGGGAAGCAGAAGTGCCGGGACAAGACTCCACGAGCTGAAGACCTCCGAGCGGAACGCTGCAGACCGGCAGTCAGTCTGTGGGAAGGGTCGGGTCTGGGCAACGAGCCTTCGCCCCACGTGCGTGGTCATTTCCGTGGTTTGCAACTGGGACGACCACAGACGCCCAGAGCGCCCCCTCCCCGCCAGGGGGCTCAGCTGCTCTGCCCCGACCGCACGCAGACCTGGACATCCAGTTGGCGTTTTGTTGTTCAGCTTCCCAGGACATGCAGCCTCTGCGGAGCTGTGCAAAACGCAGACACAGGCCAGCACGCACCTCACACCGCACACGTGGCCGCGAGGGTCAGCGGCCCCGAGGCTGCGCAGGTGCGTGGACCCTACGCCGCCCGCACTGCGGGTTCATGCCTCTGGCGCCACCTTGCTCGGGCGCTCCGGAGTCCTGGCTACTGCCCGGCGCCCGGCATGGGCCCGGCTCCCTGCGCGTCGGCTCCGTGCGCTGCCGGCCTGCCGGGCTGGGGGCCGGGGCGGCCTGCGTCTCCCTGGCTCTGTCAGCGACGGCGGCGCTGTTCACGCCCAAGGACGGCGGTGAGTAAGGCTGGGTAGAATTTTCATTTTAAATTGTAAAGTCTGTTACTGCTAAGTTTTTCAAGCTTCTAATGATCAGTTACAACTCACTTCTAATTTCCCAGCGGGGGATGCAGGGAAAGCTCGGTGAGACGAACAATTAGTAACTAATCAAGAAGCTACACAGAGTCACCACAGCCAGCTGTCAGCGCAGGG